GTATTGCCGCCAATGGAACGGCTCCTCTAACAAAATGTTCACCTGTACCGTAGTATCGTTTTCGAAGCGGGAAGCTCAAAAAACCGCAAATTTCTTAGGCAGATTGTGAAGTTGTGAGTGCATTTCAGACTTTACCGATGCGCTTATCGTGATTTTGGAGGCATTATCTGTAAGAAACAACTCTTAGTTTTGCTCTAGCAAAAGTTTGCAACAGGCCCATTTGGCCAGACATATCTTGAAGGATGGACTTAATTATTAGTCCATTTTTCTGGGGGCTTTTATAGGAAGCAAGACTGGTAAGCGAGACTACTTTACCAATTATAGGCTTTTGATTTTTGTCTGTGTTAATTTGTGTGATCGGCATGTTTACGTCTACTGCAGACTCATCTAATGTTTATGAAACATAATGTACAATATAAAATAAGAAATGAATTTTGAAAATAGTTACATGAAAAAATGAAGATATAGAAATCAATAGGAAAGAAATGTCATTACAGGAATAAAAACCCGTGATACTTGCTGATATTTTAACTCTTCAATAATTATAGAGAAACAGAGGAGAGAGCATGTTATTTAAGAATAGTACATACATTTCATGATTTCTTTGAGCCTGTTTCTGTCCATCAGTGATAAGACACGTAATTACTATTCGTATGATATTGAACATGAATGAAACCAAAAAGGAGGTAACCAGGATAGACGATACTGCCATGCCAAGGAAGAATGTTGTATGAACATTAGGGAGTTGCCTAATTTCCTCCAATAAAATGTTTATTTTTGACGATAATTATCAATATTTTTTCTAGAAATTTGCAGACTTTTATGATGATATTGCAAGCAAAAATACTTGAGAAATTGAAAGAAAAATATTTACAAACTGCCTTGAAATTTAGTGATTTGTCGAAGGAGATTTGGCAATGTCTGGAGGTTCATATGGCGTTTTTCCTTAGCACGGCAGAATAGTGGAGAAAATATTTTGAGGGTGGATTATTTTTGGTCAGGCATATTTTCATTGGTTTGGAAAAGGAGGCTTAATCATTGAACACATCCTCTTAATTTGTGTTAAGGTACAAATAATTAAATGATCTAGACAAGCACATCAGCGATGCACAGTTATGCATAACCACAGTTGATTCATATTTTACATTAATCTATTTCTCTTGAAGCAAAAAGAATATTGTATGTTATATTTTAAAAAAGTAATATTTTGACTGTGAAACTGTAAATATGCGTATTTTGGTTTCAGTGTTTCAAAATTTCTGCAAAAATTTCATATTTTAAAAGGAGACAAAACCAACATCATGGCTTGAAGATTTCATAGAATATTCTTCATAGAAAAAAGGAAAATCATTGAAATTTTGAAACCATGATGTTCAGTAGTTTTCGAAGTAGAAAATAAAATGTGCCAGGAATTCTGCAACGCTGCAAATGGAGATATGTATTGCTGCAGTTACACCATCAACTTACAAGTGTATATTGTATTCGCATTTAAATTTTTTCTTACCGTTAAAATGCCAGGTACTCTTCTTATTGTTATCTTGTTCATCAACTTCGGAGATGACATCGTCAATATCAGTATCTTCTGGAAATATGATTATAAAAGAAAAATACAGATTACGACGGCAAATAATGATTATTATAATGTAAATGATAACATAGTAGGCAGATAGGTGAGATGTGATTTTACACTCTCAATATTGCTCAGATGCAATTTAGAAAGTATCTTGACTAAATTTTCATGAATTATTGAATGCAGAATTAATTTTGAAAGGATTGAATGCAGCAGAGTTGCAAAAGTGACATATCTATGTTTAAAATTTGAGGTGGGATAATGGCGGCTTCTCAAGAGCAACGAGGTAGGCGATCTTTTGCACCAACGAACAGAAGACTGATGGCGAAAAATAACCAATCAGAACCTCCCAAAAAAAAGAATTTGCCTAAAAACGGAACTTCGTGGTTCTGCGCAGATTTACCAGTCAGACACGACATCTCGAGGTGGAAAAAAACTCGCTGAAAGCGAATTTTAGGAATCAACACAACTTGACGTAGAGACATGATTGGCTAAAAAATACAACGGTTTTTGATACATCGGAAAATCAACCAAAAATCGGAGACTGGGCGAAACGCTCAAGGTCGCAGAGGTATAGGGAATCCCATAGCGAAAGCAACGGAACGATTGTAATATCATGGGGAACTCCGTTCCCATGACAAAATCATAGTACTCACGTTTAAAGGGTTTTCTGCTTCGTCATGTTGAAGTTTAAGCACCTTGCGCTGCGGAGTATTTTTCTCGCTTTGGAAGTTTTTTCTTTTTCTTGGCGCTACTTTACGAACCATCTGCAAAAAAATTATTTAGCTAAGATAAGCATTTCACAAAAAAAAATTTAATTCTCATCTTCAAAGCATTGGGGAAAAATTAGATATGAAGAAAAACTTATGGCTTGTTGATAGAGGATTGAAAAATACAATGTTAAATGCCATCCATTATATTACCTACATGCTGCCGATAACAAATAATGCAGGAGGAGTTTTATTTGGAAAATCATCAAAGGTTTTGGAAGAATCAATTCATATGTCTTACTTAAGAAAATTATTGAATAGATGAAATTAAAATTAAACGGTCACAATGATTCAATACTATGTGATGGTGCGCTGAGCAACTGTGAGACTGACGAGTTGGCCAGTGAACCAGTGAGCTCTGGGCATCGCTACACAACTGGCTTAACCGCAACAACGCAATTGCTGGAATAGCGGCTGGATGTCTACTTTTTTGTCATACTCATGATGGCATCATGCAATTTCGTACTTTTAAGTCGGCTGAGATTAACAATGCATCTAAAACGATACCTCAACAATGGTATTGATCAAGTCTGGTTGTTTACTGTGGTATAATTGATATACAAACCTAGTACTGACATGTATGTTTCGAATAAGTTTCACTTAACCCCATGATAGAAACTTGTATCAAAATTTCCAAAGTATACAGCATGATCCATCACTTAGATTGAAAATAGCCCCAATATTGATATGTTCAGTAATTAGTGACGTGAACCAAATGGGCTTCCTTCCAAGAAGGGGTTACGGGACTTTGGTCTAATTGTCACATTAAATAAATAAGATGATGAAAAATTTTGATTCTTCATTCAAGGTGATATTGCCCGGTGGATTGAAGGTAATGAGAATCACATGTTCACTTATTGATGCAATAGCACTACTCTGATGCCATAGTGGGCTGAATTCCCTTGTAGACAAAGAGCCATGTATAAGACGAACTGTGGATGATAAATACAGCAGTAAATATAAAATAATCTTACCGTGGATGTTGCTGGATGTGCAGGAAGACAGATGCACACTTGAAACTTTCAATAAAACGATGAAAATCACGCAAAAGAAAAGAACAGGACTCGAAAAACGAAGCTCGGAATCTACTCGCAAAAATGGCGGACAGACATAGCAGTGAAATCGGGAACTAGGCAACGGCGAAGAAGTATAGACAAACTCTAAGAAGATGAGCACACCAACCGATAAAATGGGGTAAATGCGGAGGCAATCAATCATGACGTACATAAGGGATAACCAATGAGAGCAAAGTAATCAGACGGTGCAATTCTTGCTTTACGCAGTACATGACCCGATTATAGCACGCTTTCATATGACACTCATGGTTTCTCGTGACTCCTATTCATCATTTGCTGTTTCAACGGTGGATTGACTCTATACGGTTGGAAATCGGAAAGGAATGCGACGAAGTGGCGAAGTAATACATCACCAATTTTATACTTGGATCCGGGCTGAGGATCCCGGCATCGCTTGGCAACCGTCATTAGCTATTGTTCGTCGAGACGCCGACGCAGTGAGCAGGAGCGTGGGAAAGAGAGGGGTAAGTGGATTCCTGTATGAGCCACGTTTAGCTAATGGTCTATTGAGTCTCGAGGCTCATCACAGATTGCACTTACACAGATTGCACTATCAGAGCACGGGTACCAACTTTTGGAAATTATAACCGAGGTTACAGATCTGTCAAAGCAACGTTTTGAACAAAACGGAGGAGTTAAATTCTCATTTCGAGAGTGCCGACCTGCTCAGCCATCCTCGAATCAATTCGCTTGATTCTGCTTATATATGCATAATTTAAATCAGCGCGTCGCATTCTTAGGCTTTTTTTGAAAAAACCAAGTAACGTAGACTCTTGGTATTCACTGCACATAAACTAATGAGCCCCAGAATGAGAAACAACTTTAAATCATAATTATTGATGGATAAATAAACTTTTTACACGCTTTGGAAAATCTCAGAAGTTCGCGGTAGTCACTTTTCGGTAAGGAACTAAGGGACTCGGTTATTGTATCGAGTAGGGTTCGAAACGATCGCAAAGGCGGTATACTACGTATACGCGCCAATTAGCTATGGCACACAACTTGGAGGTCAATATTTCTATTTAAATTGACTAATCGTAATTGTTCCTAAGACTAAACAACACGAATCAACTTTTTCTCCGAACTACAAGTACATTTTGAATGTCCGAAGGCAGTGTAAGTATTTTTATTTAATTATCTGGAACTTGGAATTTACCGCTTGATGAGTCGGTTCAGGGCAAATGAATTTATAGTTTCCGATACATTAATTCAGAGCAGTAGAATGTATGCAAATGGCCACATGACTTCAGAGTCATACCGGCGGTTTTTTTCATTATCGGCCTTTATCTTGCCAGAAATTTTTCGGTATGCCTTCAAGTTATCCTTGTAAAAATGCGAAGTTCCAGGAATGCTGATAGCACATCAATTGGTTTGAGCCACATTCTCCGTTTTATTATCAACCTTTGTTTTTGCAATTTGTTGATCGAATTTACAATTTCATTGCCTCTGCATCTAACAAATAAATAAAATCCTCTGAGAGTTACTCATTAGTTTGAAGGATTCAACTTGCCGTTTCACATTTCTGCCTAGTGGTACATGTATGTTCTCGGGTAATTTTTGCACGATGTTTATGAGTAAGCACGGTTTTAAATGTGGAAGATTCCCGTTCTGGATTGACGCATATTTATTGATAAAGAAAAAGTAAATGTCAAATCTAAAGCGTAAAACGTAAACTCAAAAACAATGCTATCCTAAAAATTCTAGTAATCTCAACAATCACACTTATAATCTTGACTTTCTCAACAAAAAAGAGGAGAAAAATCACTTGTTAATGGGAGAATATTTATAGGTTACCGTTATTCGTCGTTGCGGCATTGTCAAATAAAACGTTAATCATCGGTAATGTATTCCTAACTAGAAAATCTTCTAAGAATCGCTAAAGTGACTCTAAGTGATGACTTTGGCGGTAGAGAGTTTTCCAGTTCGCGGTCAAAAATTCATCAGGCAAAGTCACCATAGCAGAAAGTTTTCTGGTTAGCGTCAAAAACTCATCATGTAAGGTCACCCTAGTGGCACGAAGTTTCCCGGTCAACAGGAAAAAGTTCTTGCGTTGATGTCACCTTTGCGGTACTTGGGGGTTGGTTATCCAATCACCCAAGCAACTCTTCGACCCTTAAATCCTGCAAATTTCAAAAAGGAAATCTCTTTAGTTCACAACAAATGAACGGTGAGTTATAATGATTCACTTCTTTCTGATTATATTGATCTTATTTTCCTATCAGCTAATATTTTGGGATGAGGATACATTACTTTTCCCAGCCCAATTTACATTTTTCTGAGATATGTATGAGCATGTTCGTGTTGATTTTCAGTTGTTAGATACTAGGGGGCTACGTCACCTGGCCGCTACGCGGTTCAGCCCCCGGGGGGCACTCCGCGCCCTCTTGACCCCCCCCCCCCCNCCCGCACGAGCCCCGTGAGTCGATCTCTAATTTTCTATCTTTGCGTTAAAGTCTCCAAGTTCATGTTTTGAATCTATTTGTTTGCAGTGGATTCGGTTAAGGAAATATGGTGCCGCACGGTTTTCAAAGTTGATTTCATATAGTCATATAACTGAGATAATACAAATCTTAGACAACTAGAGACTTTAATCCCCTGCCCACTACGCAGCCCATCCCCTAAAAGACCTCCTTGTAGATCTTCGATCCCCGTTAGTAAATCTAAATAGAGCGGGTACATGGTGTGGACCTTCCTATCGATAGCCGCAAAAAATCATGAAAATTGGCTCGATAGATTTTTAGAAAATGAATATTACCATTGTTTAAATGGGTGAATTCACTGTTTTATCACGCAATCCTTGAAAACATTGGGTCAAATTAAAAAAAATTGCATGCTACTTTTGCTATGTTCGTACATTGGGATCGTTGGTTTGCGAAGCATCATCGGTGAAATCGTCCGTTGAGACTATGTCCGATTCAAGTATTAAGCATCCCTCACAGAGTCCATCGATTTCGACCGGAAGAGGCTGAGTTTTATTTAAAATTTCTGAAAAATTGAAAAATTAAATGAGGCAAAGATTAGGAGCTCTGTTGATACTTTTAGGTGTGGGTTGTATTCTATTTGTATGTGTCGCCGGCAATTTACAAGCCAGTGGTGAATAAATATAGAAAATAATAAAATTCATAAATAAAAGAACAAAATTAGAGTGCTGATTATGTTGCCTATAATGCGAATAGACCCTTTTCCATCCTTAAAAACATGACAGAAATGTACACACTCAGAAGAGCGTGCAGTTAACTCCGTGACTTAAGTTGGATTGAGATCGGACAGGCAACTAAACTAACATCGTGACACTGCGTAGAGTATCACAAAAAATGAAGGCGCTTCAAACCGAGCTAATACTTTTGAAGACTATAACCCTTAAAAATTGCATTATCCCGATGCGTATTATTGCGATTTATTGAAACAGCATGTGAACCGCTTGCAAATTGCCGGCGATTGCTAATTGCCTTGATGATCTCTTAGATTGACATCTTCTATGACTTTGATTCGAAGTTGTTTGACAATCAATTTGTTTTAACGTAAAATGTATGATTACCTAGGAACATTAAAGATGCACCGCTTATTAGAAGCTCTTCGGTCAGAGTCAGCTGGAAAATGATTAAAAACACGATTATTATTAAAGAAATGGAAAAATGATTACTTATGCTTAAAGGAACTAAAAAACACCAGATTTTAGAGATGAACAGGTTTCACTTAATTTAATTTGACGAGTCAATTTTCAACTCGATTTTCAGGCGCTCCTTCATGGGACGGAGGGAAAACTGTCCCCAGTGTCCCCCTCTCTCGCACACACATAACACATAGTAACACTCTCTCTAACACATAGTAATTTTGACCGTGTTTTATGCAATTTTGACACATTTCTATACAGTTTTTGGGGTACTTTTCAGTTCAACCATCCTTCTTCTTGCTATAAGCAAAAAATCCTTCAATTTTTGTCTGCTTTTTTCCTTGGGCTCGCTTCAATGATATCCCTTCGGATATTTTACACCGTGAGTTTCAAGTTCTCGTTATGAATGATAAAAAGCATTTGACATCCTTGAACCCGAAGTGATATTAAATTCATTTTCATGGGAAATATGAGATTGGCCTTTTCAATCTAACTTGGTCAAATAGTTTAAGTGTCATGAGATTATTTTTAAAATGTAACTTAACTTCATTTTAAAAGTAAATTACAACTCGCAATTTCTAGTAAATTCTAAGATACAATCAAACTGACCTGCGAAATAAGTGAAAAGTCCGGATTCTTTGAAAAAAAAGTTCAATTTTTCGGGGAAAAGCCTCGCAAAACATATTATAGGTGACAGAAACTATAAATAACTTACATTCCTAATTCAATTGCATTTATCAATTAAATATCGTGACCGTACTTAGGTTACTTAAGAGACTGATTTTAACTTACGTTAGAGGTGACGTCATTATCATCAAGAATAAAATATCTCGTAGGTACTGCAGTCACAATTGAAAAATAGGAAATACCTAAAAAATGTTTACACAAAGAAGTGAGTGAGGATAAGAGTAGTATAGCTATACAATATTTGAAATGACTCCAAAATCACGATGATCACAATGAAAAAGTCTAAAATTCTCTTCAAATGCACAGTTTCCGTTAGAAATTTACGCATTTTTGCAACATGTCAAAGAACATAGATGGGTTTTTTTGGTTTCACAACTCCATACAAAGTTCAAAATGACCGCCGTCATTTGTCGCTGTTTTTCAAATAAAAACAAATAATGTGGCAATGACATGGATCTGTTATTTTTACTTTCCTGCGTTTCGAGTTGAATCTAATTAGTAGAAGTATACCTCTATTGTTTTACTTGAGGAACTATGTCACGTGACGGCGACCATTTTTATCCAAGACGGAGTGACTCATCTGTATCTCATTGAGTCTTTGGCGTATGTTAATGCAGATTATGAAGTCACAAGTGCATGTCAGACGTTCTTGATGCACTTATTGTGACTTTTACGCCATTTCCTTGAAAAAATTACTCCTTTTTTGACTCTAAGAAAATTTTAAAACTGACTAATTATTGCCGACGCTTTCGACTAATTTGAAGGGACAGAGAACACGTGCATTGTAAAAAATGTAAACAATCATCAGCGCACTTACTTAAATGAAGAAAGCAGATTGGAACTACTACACATTTTCTAAATCTGGTTGCATTTTCCATTTTGCAATATCACTGCAAAAACTTTTGTCAGTTTCCCCGTATAATGCGACGAACAATAATGTTTCTTTGATTTACCTCCTCACATAATACGAGTACAAAACAATCCACTTGTGACAGTGCAGTGTATAGCAAGTGTGAAATAATGTTCAACATTGCTGACCACTTCTTACGTTCTTCATAGGCCTTATTTGTGGTGACATCACCATAAGGATTCTCCATCATATCAAATTGCATCCAAACAATAACAATGGCAATACCTCTCTCAATGCTACGTATAAGAATAAATCGATATATATCGCTTTTCTGTGACGTGGCACAAATAGCGTTCATTCGGTCCATCAGTCCCCGATTTTTCAATTAGCAAATCCACCTCGCATTGAGTTACACAATGGAGCAATTTTTTAAAGCAAAATAGGATTTTAATTTAAGTCTTTAAAGACCTTCTGTTACACAAGGATTCAACGAAATCAACGATAATCTATTTCATGAACACGTGCAGTTTGAATCACGTCTACGTCTCTTTCGTAATTAGCTAAGAACAATATGATTTAAGGGTTTTTCATTTCCCATTGTATGCATGCAAGCGACCAATTTCCCGTCCCGATTTTCTCGGTCTCTTAGTTTTTCTTCACCTCAAAGAAAACTAGTTGTTCGCGACTAACGAGGTTTGAGGAATTTTTGGTTTGGTTTTTTTTTAGTGGAATCGATTATTAATAGAGGTATATTTGCATATAATCAGTTAAGCACCGGTGGTCAAGCAAATTCGCAGGTGAATATTCCCGCTGGCTTCTGCGTTGAGAGGAGATATTTTGAAGGCAGCTTGTACACGCATAACTTCCGTAGTACATAGTGACTCTTATAACGTGGTACATAATAGTGTCTCATAATACTCTGTTTCGAACTAGGTCAGTTCCCCCTTTTTTCTGAGATTTTGCTCGCAGAACATGAGGGCAATTTTTATTTTTGCAAGTTAATGATAGTTTTTGAATATTTGCTCTCACTGACAGCTATGAATTCATCAATTTCAAATATGCTATTGTGTTCTTGTGCGTTTCATTAATTACCTATACTTGCAATAGTTCTCCGGTCTGCCCCTGCCCTTTTAAAAATGCCTGAATATCTCCGTGCATTCTTATACTTTATTTATTTAATTCTTGTTTACGTCTTAATTAATTTAATTATTTTATCATTTGTATTCGTCTATTTCCTTCTGTTTATAAATTTGCCACCTCCGTTCCTTTTTGTCCCAATTTTTATATATTTTTCTTTCTTTTTCTTCGTCTTTTATTTTATTTCTTCCTACGTGTAGTATGTTTTCTCAGTCAATTTATTTAGTTTAATTTTAGTCTATAATTAATTTGGTTTTTTGGAAATTTACTACATTTCACTCTGTCCTCATACTCTTTCTTTCATCTCGAAAAGATGTCTTAATAATGCTTACTCTTATCGTGCATGCTTTATATCGGTTTCTATGAATTTTGTATCATTGGTTATAAAAGTAAATAATAAAAACGTTTCTTTTTTTAATAAAATGATGAGTCATATTTTAATTATACTTTTCCATTAACCCTCATTATTAATTCCTTGGCGTACTTTTTTCAGCCTAATTTCTCGCTATATTTTGCAAAAATTATTACTCAGTTGTTCATATCCTGTTTGTACAGTCGTAAATTTTTGCTTGTATTTGTGTTATTCGGCTCCCTGAATACAAAATAAAAAACATTCAACTTAATCCTTAACTCATTTTAAGTTTGAACACGTTATTATTACGTATTTACCACATAGTGCCATGAAACTCTTACTTGTAAGCGTGAAGAGTGAAAGCCAAAGTCTTTAGTGCACAAAACCTCAAAAAAAAATATTCGATACCACGCCATGGAAAAGAGTTTACGAGCAATTTTGGCACAAGAAACGCCCAAAAATATCTTTTTCAAAGCTTTGGGGGTTGGAAGTTCCATGTTAAAAAAACGGACTTTTGAGAAAAACCCTTTTAAAATTCAAATCCGCCATGCTCTGGGCATAAAATTGTCAGGTCATAATGAAGTAAGTCATACGGTACATAGTTTGAAAAGTAATATTTATCAAAATTATTAGCAGGCAATTTTGCGCTCGTGATAAAACTACAGCAAATATTTATTTTTGAGCGGCACTCATCGGCTCTTTTCAGCAACAATAGGGAAATCACCAACGGTAGAGACTCAATGATATATCTTCATCAACTGGCGCATTTTAAAGTTGATTAACACTCTTGAAATATGATAATGAACCTTAACCGATTATTTGCTTTAGAGAGACTTTTTAAGTGCCTTAAAGTTTTGACTAATCTTAGCTTAAAAAAAACGCTCTTATAGGCACATGACCTCCATAAAATATATGGTGAAAACTTCAATGAATCATTATAGGCACATGTCCTGCATACAGCATACATGGTGAAAACTTTAATCGAATTTCGAATCATTTGCCATTGACCAAAGAAATGAAAGCCGTCTTTGGTATGTTGTAGCAAAATAGTCAGCATTGACGTTCAATGACCTTAGAATACTCTAAAGTTGGAAGCCGATGACTGGGCTGTTTTTTTTTTTTTTTTTTTTTTTTTTTTTTTTTTTTTTTTTTTGAGATATACGATACAACAAATGGAAATAAACGGCATTTCTTTTATTTTAATTTATTTAACATGTTACAGTACATATTTGCTATTGAAAAGTACGCTTAAAAATAAGTGGCATCATCCGCTACATTGAAGGAATGCTCATGAAATACATTTTTACAACAATCAATTCATTCAATGAAAGATTTACAGCATCTACTACGTGGACGCTAGCTATCTTACATACTTATAAGTAAACCACTAATGACAACTTCAAACAGAATAATTCTAACGACCGACGACGGCAACTGAGCCCCAGCCAACGGAATCTTCTGGTTTTCCATCATATGGACGCTGGAAAATAAAAACGAGCCGTTACTTTAGAAATGTACTGAATTTTGTAATGAGGAACTACAATTTATGACTCATACATAAAGACAATCTACATAAAGAAACTAATGACAAATTCGCTGTTTCTACAATTTACCAGAAAGTGTAGTTCCTAATTCTAAAATGTAGGCTAAATAGTAGCTTTTTTAAAATGTTCATACTAATTTTACAAGACGGATATGAAATGATAAAAGAAATATGACTGAAATCAAGTGAATGAGAGTTGCCGTCTACTTGAAAGAAATTCTCCCTAAACATATTTTAAACCAAGATAATGCGAGTATGAAGGAAGGAGCCCCATTGTACCAACAACGCTAAATGCATAACCCTGCAGCAAAGCAATTATAGACACTACTACCCAATCCAAGCCAATATATTAAGCAGATATCTTGGTCAGTGAGGGTAGCTTGGTTAGGAACGCCAAACTAGTCAATAGAAACTCCAGAAAGAGAGAATCAATGGGCTACTTCAAAAGCAGTTGAAAATTAAGTTGATTTAATCGCAAGAAGTACATAATGTTTTCAATTATAACCATCAACCAAACCAGCCTATACCTTCATCTTGTGTCAAAACAGATGCTATTTGCAATTTTTTTAATAAAAGAATTTGATTTATTCTACACTAAAAAATCTCCATTTAATATTCATAAAATACGTACATCACCATGTGTTGCAACCTTGCCATCAGCCATAGCACCATCCTTGATGACCATATCATAATTATCCATCGTAGGAAGTTCCCTTTCTACTTTATAGACCGTGCAACCCTCGCAGATTTCATTGATCTCCACCAGCTGTGGCTGTGTTTGATTCATGAGATCTAAAGACATTTGAGGTATGCGTGGCGTAAGAATAATTTTAATGCTACAAAAAGGACCTACACACTCATCGGACGTAAGTTCCGCGAAGTGCCTTCAAGTTTGAACATGCAACACGCACATCCGTGGAACACGTATAGTTGTATCAAAGCGCCACGACCAACTCAGGTCGAGATACTTGATACTTCGTATAGAATAAAAAAAAACCAGTGAAAAAAGAAAGAAAAAAAATAATAAACCAGTTCCAAATTTCAGAGCTCTGCTCATTCATTAAATCTATGAATTAGTTAATCTCATTATTATAAAAGCTACAATTTAAAACAGGTCGATAGCTACAGTTTTTCACTACATTTCTCTCTTGTTTTAATTGTTGGCGCTCAAATCTTTTTAAAAATGACTGATTCGATTTTTAGCCTTGGATACTCTGCCCTCCTGTTCTTAATTGGTAATACTCTCCTAATTTAGCTACTCTGTTTTTAGAGTGCAACAACTGATGAGTCCCATTCAACTCTGAGGAAGTGAGGAAGGCAAAAGCGCCTTCAATTTTGAACATGCAACACGCACATCCGTGTAACACGAATAGTTGCATCAGGGCTTTTTAGTCATCTCGGTCTGATATTTGTACAGCGGGATCGCCTCCGATTTTTCATCATGTAACACGCACATTCAAAATACTAAAAATATGGGAAAAATTAAAAACTTGTAAATTGCTAAATAATCACAAGAAGTATGTACACCGCAACGAAAAACCACTAGCTGAAATAACTAGCGTTGATCGCGACTAATTTCATAAGTTACGGCACAAACGTACTTTAAAAAAATATGAACTCGAAATCAGACCATATCTGAGTTAATATTTTCTCCTTTCTCTGACAATTTTGTTACAAAGAGTATGAGGTTTTTTATACGTACCAATTAAAAATTCTTCCGTCATCATACGCTAAAAAAGAAAAAAATTACATATTTCAGCAATAATATTTTCCGTTTTCCCACAAAAATGTAAAAAACAAATTGAATTATTGGGTTTTTTTTATTTGTTTTGCTTTGTATACTAAGCCATGACAATTTATTTCGGGTAACTTTCATAAAATATCAAAGGTAGATAGATAAACTCTATTCATTCAAAAATACACTTCATTTTGAAATAAAATCAGTGAGATATGCAGACATGAAGAGTACAAGTATTTAACAAAATTTTATTTCTAAGACATTACTTTAGTTTGTAACGTAGAGAGTTAACCTTTTTCCTCGTAAACTTGTTCAACGATCAACAAGTCATCTCATCTTACGAGTCTGTTCATAGACTTCAATCCTACGTCATAAGAGAATCAGCCAAAAATAAAACTTACCTCCATACAAACGTTATCGTCGCTTCCGCGGTTACCGGTCATTATCGGAGCTGCGTTTGCAATCGATGCGTGAGAGAGAACTATGAGTTGAAGATAAAATATATGATTAAAAATATGAAATTCAGTGTGATTTTGGGAGTGTTAGAATATCTGTTATAAAAGTGATGGGTTGTACCTAAAAATCTACCGAATCGCTGAGATGAGCGAGGATTGAAGTGATGTAAGGAAATGTTCTGAGATCTAGAGTCCCTTTATACCCAGAGTTACGACAACTCACTTTTGGTTGGGCCAGGATTGGGCTGAAAGTGGCCTAAAAAAAAATCCAATTCTGATTGGTTCTCGCTCATGGAGGCCGAAACGAGTGCACCAAGATGGCGGTACCTCGAATGTGAACAAGAATAATGAAAATATTACCTAATTGTGGTTTATCAAGAGTAAATTGTTATTTTCATAGGTCCAAAATGAAAATAGATTAAGAAATTATTCACAAACCAATCTCATTTTCTTTTTAATTGATCACTTTGTTGATGTTGTTGTTTTTGTGTGACAGACATCGCAGGATTCCTGATCCTTATCCCTCAATATCGTTCGTTTGGGTGCACTCGTTTCGGCTTCCATGGCCAGCCAAGGATGGCTGCCAGTCAGCTGATAATCGAGTTGTCGTAACTCTGGGTATAAAGGGACTCTACTGAGATCAATCAATCGTGCTGAGGGTAAAAAGTTAGTCACAGCGCTCAGTAGATCGAGTCAATAGGAGGTCGGACAAAATTTGGAAACCTAAACGCTCATAACTCTGTTCATACACACCCTTGAGGTTCTGAAAGTGGTTTCAGTAGATTCCTAGTGAAATTTTCTTCAAGAAGCACCCTTAAAATTTAAAATGTGACGATAGAAACATCAAAATTTCATGTCCAACTTCTTCCATAGACTCGTTCTACTGTGTGTCGTACTGAGCAAATTTGCTTTCATCTGGAAACTACTGTATTTTCTTTTTATTTACTCTTGAAAGTCAAAATCCTCTTATAGAAATTATGAAACTTACATGAAACACAAAACACAATCTTGAATGGACCGCGTTTAACGGGAATGCTACAAGTTGCATTTAGTTTGAATTTGAACCGAGTGCACGCAAGTTTCGACTAATTATTAAGAATTTCAAAATCGTACTTACTCAAAAACACAAAACAGATTAAGGCAGCTGCCATTGCAAGCCCCGACGTGAGATTCATATTGCCTATACTCTTTCCGAATACAGAACAAATTTGTGTAAAAGGCTGTCTTTGATTTGGAACTATACAAAGTTTGATTTTTTATATATATTTTGTCGGAGGTTCTAAACTGTAAAATTATCAGGCGACCGTCTTCTCTTATTATGGACTGTTCAGAAATTATTCTTTGTTCCAAAACAGCGCGTGGATTTTCAAAATTCATTCATTTGACTTTTCTTTTCAGGAAAATTAATTTTTTGGTGATTCATCAAATTAACGGAGGTTATCACGCTATTGATTTATCTATTACAATGGAAGAAAATTTTATAAGTCATGCCTAAGCTTTAAAACCTCCATTGTACTTAAACAATCGATTTTTAATAGTTCCAATTTCAAAGTTCTTGCGTTGAAGTACGAGAATCACTATCTTCGCGTTTTGTCAGCATATTCACGCTGCTTTCGCACTTGATTGGGGGTGTTGATGGTTACTTTGGTCTCGGGAAACATTAAAAGTATTAAGTGAAGTGTCTAAAATATGGAATATATTGAGATTCAAGAATTTTCTCATTTTTTTACGTTTTCTCCAGATTTTTAAATCACTCGAAAAAAAACACATTGGATCTAGAGTCCGGACTCTTGAAAACATTGACAAGAAAAAATACTCTTGATTCAATCAGATTTTGCTTAAATCAAAAGGAAATCCGCTTAAATTATGAGGCTTGGTTCTTGATTTAAGCAAAAATCCGATTGAATCAAGAGTATTTTTCCTTGTCGATGTTTTTAAGAGTCTGGACTCTAGATCCAATGTGTTTTTTTTCCCAGTGATCAACTATCAGGCAGCAATAGTGATTAAAATGGTTATTTGCAGCTCAATTGCCTATTTTGGTTGCGCAGAGGCTGTAAGCCTCAACTCATGTTTTTACTTTTTTAAAGGAAAGCTAACCAATAGTTTTTACTGAAAAATTCTGTGAACTTTTTTCTCTCATTTTAAAAAAATTGTAAGGAAACGTTTTGATTAGTTTCCCTTCAAGAGCATATAAAGTAATCGGAGATTCTCAATAGTTGCCACTGAGATACGCATTTGCAGTATTTAGCCATCGAAATATCAGTTGGGTGTTATTGAAACGCAAAACAAAAATATTAAATTTGCCAAGAGAGAAAAGTTAAGACGATTGTAATTTTCAACAGGAAATTTTCCGATACTTTAAAAATTCAAACTGTTTCTTACAAACTTTTTTTAACATTTTTAAGACATGTATGAAGATTATCTACGGCGGTTTTATGGCCTGAAGGTTATTAAAACTTGGAAAAAATATTATAATTAGACCTCAACCTAGTGAAATTTTAAGTTTCAACAATGTTTTACTGAACAACGAATGTATTCTTCACTTATTTTTTTATTTTCTCATTCTTGCTGCGGCAAAAACATTTGAAGTATCTTTGACACTAATCTGATGTATCTCGTCCGCAAATGTTAATTTATTCAAATGCTAAAGATTTAATTCAAGAGAAGTCAATCGAGCGTATGATCACAATCACTTCTCCATTGCAGTAAAATATTCGCATGTCAACATGGGCAAACATAAGAGGGCTAAAAAAGTACAAAAGGATATAAACTGAAGTGGGTCGATTACTAACCTATCTCAACCAAGGACAAGATAAGTTTGTCGGTGTGCTTTTCTAATTACATCTTCAAGGCACGGAAGTTTTTCAGAGAAATATTTTGCGCACTAATAACCTCCGTCGCTGAAAGTCTGAGGCGACTTTTCTCCTCGTTTTTCTATCAGATAATATTAACATGAAGAGTAGTTACAGAAAGAGTTATCTCGTGAGGCATTTAATTTTATTACAGCGCTCATGGCCCACTATGTATGTACAATTTTTGTGCGAAACTTTTTCAGCTCACAAATTTAGTTTTCCAACTAGACAGTATTATCTCATCCCGGCACACAATTTGAAAACGTTTTTATTTTAATTAATTTCCTAGAACATTGAGCCAAAACAAATATTTTTAAATTATTGATATGGACGAAAGCTCAATTACTACATGTGCGTTTACCTCATTTTTATTTTTTTAAATTCATTTCACTTTATTTCTTTTTGAGAAAAAATAATCCATCGGAGTTGATGATCTATATCAAAAAATTAATTTAAAAATTTATGAATTTGGTATGATCGACGGGATTGTGTTTTCGGAGTACTCTCCTTTTTTTTATTGATGTTGTCGATATAACAGAAAAGTTTTTGAGTACTGAACTTTAACTTTTAAGTTATTCAATTCTAAAAATAGTCAATATTTGTCATATTTAGTTTCCATGGATTTACATTTTCAAGAATAATTCGAGTAAAACCTCCTGAAACGGACATGTAAACCTTTAAGTGTGTACAAGATTTATCGAAATATTTTACGGATTAATAAGATAATGTGAATTTTAATCAGAGCACACATGCACATAGAATGGGAACAGAAAGATGAGCGACTCCGCATGTTTATCGTTGTGAAAAATATGAAAACGAACACGAGCAACTATTCATGTTCAGCTGCAGTATTTGTGGCCTAATCGACGATTTGAAGGAAAACAAGTTTTGTCTACTCCACATCAAACTGAGAGTTCTGGTTTTGTGAAGCAACTTCAGATATGCTCTACTCCCATATCTGTGACTGCGACTTCCTATTTTGAGCACTCAAAAAGTTCCACATTTGTATGGCTTCATTAACCATTTGGGCGATAAATATCATACTTCCACTGCATTCAGCCAGATTTTCCTGAATTTCAGAAACCTACATATTGAACTTTGACGTTGTAAGATGTTCAACATGGGATCTCTTGACTGCATGCAATGTTGTGCAAAATGCTAACCACCTAATTTTTCCGATGTATTCCAAATAAAAATAAGAGACCAAATATTTGCCGAAGCCTAGCACTTAAAGTATTCATCCTCAAAGAAAACTCTGGTACAAACGTTCTCAGACCCTACAACTGCACTGCATTTTACAAGAAGGAACCACAATTTCTAGCTCACCAAACAAAACAAGTATCTGCATAGGGAAACAAATGACACATACGTTGCTTCTAAAATAAGTTAAAATTTGTAAATTCGGATTGTAATATTTGGTCCAATTAGACTTCAATTATAAACCCTAATTAGACTTTGATTCACCTCAAACGAGAAAGTCCATTTGCAGGGTCCAATTATAAAAATGATCAGCAGTTATTTTAATGGAGGGGTTACAGAAAGGTTCACGTGATTTTAGTCCGTTTTCTATTGCCACCAAGAGCCAAACTCTAGAGTAAGAAATAGTGCATACATTATTCTACGACCAAATTGACCACACTCAGTAGTGAAGAACCCCCATAAAATACAATTTCGCCGAGGAGTTTACAACACTGCACAATGTCAAATTCCTGCGTCCTCCAAATCAGTCATAATCCAAGTACACCAACATGTTTTAAGGTGGTCCGTCAAGCTCTCTGCCGTGGTTGAACTGTAAGCGATTTATCCTATCAATTAGATAAAAAATCTCGGCGGATTTTGAATTTTAAGCGAAAAAGGACCATATAGCCTCTGCGCATAAGCCTAAAAAATCATTTCAACCAAAAAATTGGCAAAATTCAGAGAAATGGGAGCAGAATCCTTTCTGCAAAAAAACCTTTCGATACAGAAATCGATAACTGTATCGAATGCGAGGTTTTTTTCAAAGAGGATTTTGCTTTCATTTCTCTGAACTTTGCCACTTTTTTTTTGGTTCAAATGGCTTTTTAAGCTCGCATGCGCAGGGACTATCGTCCTTTCTTGGGATAAAAATTCAAAATCCACAAGATTTTTGACACGATGCATGCGATATAGTTCGACGACGTCAGTGAGCTCGACGAATCACCTTAAGCCATTGATGCATTGCGTGATTCACATGACAATGTCCAAGAATCTTAATTCTAGAGATCAAAACCACACGCTTCACCCTCGCCCGACCATCGGAGACGGAAAAAAAATTGGATACGTGCATCCTTCGGCCTCCACAGAATTTTACTGATCCGGTGAAAGAATCCGATAGAATCATGAGCCGTGATGAATCGCCGTCAGGGGACCTTGGGGGGGAGAAGGGGGGTCCCGGGTGGATCCAGGTAGACGGTGCTGCTCTCACCGAGCCGGTAACTGCACTATCCGCCCGTTCCGTTTTTGGTCCAGTTCGAAGCGAGCGATCAAGACGCGCACGTGTTCGTCGCGTTCGTCTGCCGGTCGTGTGTCCGCGTGTTTTCGCAGTTCGGTGTGTGACAGCCTGGTGTGTTCCGCTACCGTCGTACGAGATCGATTGGTGTGTGATCGTGATCGGATTTTCGCGGTTTTTTGTGAAAGTTGTGTTTTGGTTGTTTTTGAGTGTTTTTGGTTTTGTCTCGCCGCCCCTCTCGGCGTTAAGGATACTTGGCCGGTTGCATTTTCGCCCTTTTTCGGAGGATTATTGGACTAGAGTCTGCGAACGTTTCAGTGAGTATTTTTATCCTGATTTGGCAGGATATTAAATTTTTTTTAATTTGCATTTTTTTTTTTTTTCAACTTTTAGTTGTCAAAAATTTTGGTTTGTGGAAAAGATGTCTGTCATACTTAAATAACTAGATCAATTGTTTTTATTAAGAACGGAAATTCTCGTCTTTTTTATGAAATTTCTCATCGTCAAATATGCCTTGGTATACGCAAAAATATTCTTGAACTTTTTCATTCGAAATTGAAATTCACGCCATTTCGATGAAATTTCTTGAAAAACTCAAAAATAACGAAAAAATTCTTGAATTTGCAAATTTAAATCGAAATTGAAATTCACGTCATTTCGATGAAATTTCTTGAAAAAACTCAAAAATAGCAAAAATATTCTTGAATTTGCAAATGTAAAAAAAAATGACTATAATCAAGTCGCACCTAACAGTGCGAAATGTCATCAAATGACGTAAATTTCAGTTTATAATGGAAAAGTGATTCGGTGATCAACTATTTTTCATCATGAATTTTGTTAAAAAATCTTTTTAGCATTATTGGGTCCTTATATGGGGGGCGACAAAGAATTCAAGGACTAATAAAAATTCGAAACTTTTAAATGACGAAAGATTTTGGGAGAAAGAGGCTCCCCTCAGTTACCTATCCCAGCTCATCACAAGCAACATAATTTCAACCGTTCCCACAAGCACCCCTTGAAATATCAACTCATCTGAATTTTCATTTCACGAATCCTACGTTTAACCTCTCAATTTTACAATTGTCAGAATCAATACGGTGGATTGATTGAAATTGATGAAATGAACGGATGAATGGATACAAGATGCTTACTGAGGAAAATCTAGCTCACCATCGTTAGAAAAGTGCTCTACAACGATAGTCTCAGAGCCGTGATTTTTTTTGTTTAGCTGGTATTACCTGGAAAAAAAGACAAAATGAAGTGAGTCAGGTAAATGTATGCATCACTGAGCCTAATTAGATCACACCGAGCAGATATTAATTATGTCACATCAACCATTGCCAGACCTCTTAGGACCCACTGGAAAAAAAACACATTGGATCTAGAGTCCAGACTCTTAAAAACATCGACAAGAAAAAATACTCTTGATTCAATCAGATTTAAGCTTAAATCAAGAACCAAGCCTCTTAATTTGAGCGGATTTCATTTTGATTTAAGCTTAAATCTGCTTGAATCAAGAGTCCTTTTTCTTGTCAATGTTTTCAAGAGTCTGAACTCTAAATCCAATGGTTTTTTTTTCCCCCAGTGTCATTCATTTTTTTACGCGACAATAGCAGTGTTGATTCTTTGATAATTCCTGAGGATTTCATCGGTGACTTGAAGCAACTTTCCTAAAATTTTGAAAACGAATCTTCACAAATGTTCCCCTCTGAAAAAAAGAGAGAAAAAAATTGCTACATGAAATATAGCAATTAGATTCAGAGGATCCAATTAATCACTCGTTTGTACTAAAGTACAAGTATTTTCCGAGGAGTAGGGAGTAACAGCCAGAAAATGGTAGAATTAAAAAAAATGAATTGAATGTGTGTCATACAGGGAAATAATCATGAAAATGTATTTCCGGCTGATTTCGGCGCCGGCTAGAAGAATGTGTGGTTGCATCAACCAGAGGTATGATGAAGTCAGCCAGATGTATGCATGTACGGGTAAATCAATAATACTTCTGGCTGGTGCGACAACACTCCTAGCTGGCGTCATAAAATCAGCCAGGAATATAACTAAAAATGATCATACTTTTTTCGCTTAAAGTGCTTTATTAATGCTTACACCGTTTAAAATAATGGAGTCTTAAGAGAGTAAGAGATGGTCCACATACATTGTAAGCATTTTATTCCAAGCGAAAAAAATTAGGGGTGGATTTGTAATATAAAGAGCATTCCATTCTTTTTTAAATACAGGCAGAGACATCGTAAGCCTGGTGTGGGTGTCGTGGACATTTTGTTCGTCGGAATGCGATCTAAAGGAGAGCGATACTCGTTCCAGATTTTTTTCCACTTAACCAGAGCACCAAATTCAAAGACGATTCTTTTTCCCCTTTATACTTCATAATTACAGACTTGTCACAAAAGATCCAACCAAATAGGAATTGATTCAGTAATATAACTTATTAAAATAAATTGAGCGTACAAGTTATTTCAAGTAGACATTGGCTTTTTTAGGAGAAAGAAATCTAAATAAACTAAACGAAACACACTAATTTTTTCATACTTAGGTAAAAATCAGAAATTTTCAATGTGTCCATCGTGTGTTACGTGTAACTTTAATTGTATGGGTTGAAATATATTGCAATACAGCGGTCGTTCGATAATTCAAAGCTCGTTAATCCGAAAAGCTCGAAAATTCAATGACGAGGACAATTCTTAGGAAAAATCGGGTTAAATCGCGAAAAACCAATTTAATTTCCCCCCCCTCGGCAATTTGAAATTTTTGGTAGTCAGAAAGCTCGCTAATCACCTCCATGATTTGAAGGAGTTGGACCGATTCCGAGCGCTTTTTTAATTCGAATTGGCTGGGTGTGATGCTCTGTAACTTTAAATCCTGCACTGACTCTATTAATGCAGTTACCCTAATGCGGTCCACACTTACAGCTTTTTCTCTAAGTAAAAAGTATGTCGGTTTTAGCTTTGACATTGACATGTAGTTAATTTCTAACCCTGTCTATAGTGGTCCATTCTCAAGTAAACACCCGCGCCGTTGCGATGCAATTGAATCGTTCACTTTAAAAATATTTAGGCGCCAAAAAAGCGAAAATAGAGTTATTGGTGGTTCGGTAGTGCTTTGGAATAAATGCATCTTGTTCAAAATTGTCAAACAGAAAAACATATTTTTAATGCATATACATGTAAAAACTTCTGAAAAGTCATGTCTTTAACAAAGAGACCCAATAGCGCTAAAGCGCTTAGAGGTGCTCGCTTATCTTAATTTGATCCGATTTTAATCTTTCACGCAGTCATTTCAAAATTTCCAGAATTGAGGGGCTAAATACATGTTCTTTCAGGCCAAACATGTCTCTATTTTTGAGATTTTAGTAAGTTTTTGCACTTGTAAGCGATCATTAGCGATGTAATCATCATTACCTACCTAAATAAGTTATCATCATATTTTACATATATGTGTAGAAAAAGCGCACATGAAATGTTCGTGCTATTTATGGCTTGAAATACAAATTCTAAAAATTTGACTTTACATGCGGGTACTTTGTTAAAATAAGTCCGTCGACTCTGTAAAAACCTCAAGCGCCCATTGTTTTTATTCCTCTTTTTCCTTTCGAATCTTATGGTCTTGAAACAACCACGCAACCCCATTTTAAATTGTAATCTTCTCACACATTCATCTTTCTGACTTCCGAAATTTAGAACGGTCGATCAAAACTTGTCATTGTTTTCTCGAATTCTTATTCCTGGAGCTTAAGTCTATCTGAGAATGGCCGATTCAATTCAGCTCCTTCGGCTCTGCGGGGTGATTATTGAAATTAATGGAAAAAGCTACAGGCATAGAAGACAGAGGAAAAATGAAGCTATCCTATTGGTTAAAATGGGAGGTTGGATTGGACAAAAGAGGTAAGTAATAGACTAACTAACGGCAACCGACGAGATACCCGACAGTTAGTCCGTTATTTTCCTCCTAAGTCTATGAGAAGCACCCGTCTCAACCAATAGGACCGCTCCATACTCTCTATGTCTTCTTTGTCTATCGCTTTGTCTATCAATTCTAATAATCAGTCCCCAGCGGGCCGATTATTGAAATTGATAGACAAAGCTATATAGACAAATGAGACAAAAGGGATATGGAGGGATTCTATTAGGTAGTAGAAGCGGGTGGTTGCAACGGAGAAAGGAGGTAGGTAATAGACTAACTTAAGGCGACGCACGAGAGACACTACAGTTAGCCCAATATTTCTTCTTTACTCTGTAGGAACCATTCAATCCAACCAATTGGATCGCTCCATACTCTCTATGTCTTTTGTGTCTATGGCTTTGTCTATCAATTCCAATGATCAGTTCCCGCAGCCGGCCGATTATTGAAATTGATAGACAAAGCTATATAGACAAATAAGACAAAGCAGGGGATATAGAGGGATTCTATTGGTACAAGCGGGTGGTTGCAATATACAAAGAAGGTAGGTTAGTAGAGACACTACAGTTAGCCCAATATTTCTTCTTTACTCTATAGGAACCACTCATTTCAACCAATTTGATCGCTCCATACTCCTCCGTATGTCTTCTTTGTCTATGGCTTTGTCTATCAATTTCAATAATTGGCCCGCCGACCCCTTCATTTTCGTGTTCGCACAGCAATGTCGACATTGCCGCGATGTCTTCGCATGCGACCGGAGCCGGAGAACAAGTGCATGAACTTAATTCGGACGTATTTATGCTAAAAGGAACTAAGTGCATAGGGTTTGCGTGTAGCATAGCTCTTTTTAGCATAAATACGTCCATTTTGCTTTCGATGCGAATGATTTTGTCCATGGCTTTTAGCATAAATACGTCCATTTTGCCTTCGACGCGAATGATTTTGTCTATGGCTTTGTCTATCAATTTCAACAATCGGCCCGCTGACCCCTTCATTTTCGTGTTCGCACAGCAATGTCGACATTGCCGCAACGTCTCCGCATGCGACCGGAGTCGGAGAACAAGCGCATGAACTTGATTTTGCCCTCGCTGCGAATGATGTCGCTTGGAAGCGTGAGAATTTTCGGGAGCGACAAAATCGGGCGCCGCCGGGGAATCGCTTTGACGGGGGCTTCTCAAGAACGCGTTGCCCAACTCCCGCGATCGTAGCGTGGATCTCCTTTGAACCCTGGGATATCGCCTCCCCGCCGACACAAGCACGTAACTGCGTTTAGAGACGAGCCGCAATGGACGCGTAACGGCATAGATCACGGGAAAGTCGAGATACGTTGTTTGGTCGGACGATATGATGTACAGCGTGATGAAACGCCGAGCTGCGGTCTGAATGACGAGGTGAGAAACAT